ACAAAAAATATGGCGGTGTATCTTTCCATGTTCTGGCGGAAGATGCATTCATACGTTGGGTGGTGGAGAACGAAGGGACGATGAATCAGGTAAGCACGTAACGTATCTCTGGAAACTTCTTTTTTTTTTTTTGGAGAATCTCTGAACAAATGAGACTGAATCCTCCGCTTGAACATGGAAAGATACATTGCCATATATGGGCCTCGCTGCACTACTCTGGAAATGTGCAAAACGAGAGTGAATCTTGCGTTAGAATATGGAAAGATACACCGCCAATATTTTTGTCTTTTGTGCATGTTGAGAGTAGTGCAGCGAGGCCCTATGTTGTGCATGTCGAGAGTTGTGCAGCGAGCCAGTTGGTGAACATTACCGTTGAGGTTCTGACAGGTTGGACGCGCTGGGTTCACTCGTGCAAAGAAATTCTGATGTTCTTCCTTAAAAAAAGAAATTCCAGGAAAAACGGCTGTCAGTTCCGTCGTTTTCTACTTCAGAAGTAATAAGAAGAGAACGTTTTGAGAGATCGCGACCCTCATCATGACTGAATCTGGCCTGCAAGAACCCTACCATACAGACTGCAATAACCCTACCATACAGTGTCACACAGAGTGCTACCCGGACTACAGGTTACTAAAAGCTTTCAGGCCAGCGCACGGCCTCCAAAAAAAAATTGAATGGCCGTTTCTTATTTTACGCGAGCAGGGGGCCGCGTCTACTACCGCCCCTCACAACTTTTTTTTTTTTTTTTTGACCCCCATTTTCGGAGGTGCGCCGCATGCAGTGTGCGCGCGTCGTGCGGGAAGCGCGGTGCGGCACACCGTGACGTGCGCAGTACAGCGCATCGGGATGCGCCGCAAGTATGATATATATATTGTATATATATATATGTATATATATATATATTTGGTGAAAAAAAAAAGATTGAATGATTGATTGGTTGATATATTGATTGATGGATTGATTCAAGGAGAAAACCCGCCCGGCGCCCGCATCAGCGCACAACAGTGTGAGGGAGCGGCGGAGGCAGCGGGAGCAGGGAGGCAGTGGGAGCCGGGGAGGCAGCGGGAGTGGGGGAGGCAACGGGAGAGGCAGGGGGAGCGGGAGCAGGGAGGCAGCGGGAGCAGGGAAGGCAGGGGGAGAAGGGGAGGCAGCGGGGGCGGGGGAGGCAGTGTGGGCGTGAGCAGGAGAGGCAGCGGGGGAGGCAGCGGGAGTGGGCAGAGTGTGTGTGTGTGTCTGTGTGTGTGTGTGTGTGTGTGTGGGTTTAATGACATAACCCATAGCATTACATCAATTTACATGCTAACAACCCCACCGCAAGCCCTGGTATGACCGTTCACACCATAGGCTAATACATGCACCCGGACTTATGTTCTTTATCGTGGGGAGTAGCACTAGATGCAACTAGGTAATGTACTACTGACCTAGGCTAACAAGACCATTCCCAAAGTAATAAGGAATGACAAACAAAAACGGGGTGGCAAACAGCAGCCAATGAAAAGCACCAGTGGGAGGGTGAACGACACTCAAGCACACCAAGCAGGCCATGGAAAGGCATGACAAGGCAAAACTGCCATTTCCTCAGAATGGCCATTTTCTTATTTTTTGAAAAAAATTGACCAAAACTTTGGACTTGTTTTCGGCAAAAAAAAATCGGTTTCAGTTCCTTTTAAAAAATAAAAATCATTTAAAAATGTCCATTTTGACAAAATGGCAGTTACAAGGCATGGGATGACAGGCTGCAACGAAGGACGAAGGCTGGAGGGCACGGGGGAGGAGGGAGGGCAGATGACTCATGCACACCGAGCAGGCCATCGGAAGGCATGTCATGACAAGGCATGGGATGACAGGCTGCAACAAAGGTCGAAAGCTGGAGAGCACGAGGTCGAAGGCTGGAGGGCACGGGGAAGGCGGGAGGGCAGATGGCACTCGAGCACACCAAGCAGGCAATTGAAATGCATGACATGAGAAGGCATGGGATGGCAGGGTGCAACAAAGGACGAAGGCTGGAGGGCACGGGGGAGGCAGGATGGCAGACGACACTCAAGCACACCAAGCAGGCAGTGGAAAGGCATGACAGGAGAAGACATGGGATGGCAGGCTGCAACAAAGGACGAAGACTGGAGGGTACAGGGGAGGCGAAAGGGCAGACAACACTCAAGCACACCAAGCAGGCAAAACAAAAAAATACCAGTCCTAAGAAAAGAAGACAAACCAACACACCAAAAAGGCAAACCAAAAAAATACGAGTCCGAAGAGAAGATGGCACACAAGCATACCAACCAGGCAGCAGGCAAACCCAAACGAAAACACGAGTCCGGGAATTTTTTCAAGGACTGAAAAAAATAATAAAACTGATGATAGATTGTTTCATCGGAGTTGCAACGGCTCATCAGGAGGCTGAACCCTCGACAACCTGCGGAATCTCAGTATCGATGGTTTGGGTCATGAACCCTTTGACCCATGTTGAAGGCAGACTATCCACAAATGGAGCACAGCAGCAGGGCACAACTCAGCGAAGCACCAGGCAACACTGCCAGAGCAACCCGACTGCACAACACCAAAGACGACTGCAAGGAACAACACAGCAAGCGGACGAGCCGCAGGGCAACAGCGCGGCGGAGCACAAGGCAACACCAGCACAGCAGCCACACTGCACGGCACACAAGCAAAGAACACAGATGGCACGGCACGCGGATGGGCAGCAACACTAGCACCACAACCACACCACACAGTAAATACAACAGCCTTGCAAAGAACTACATGCAACACAAGCAGGACGGGCAGCAAGGCAGCGGTGGAGCGCAGACAAGGCAGTGTGCACATTCAACACGGAGCAAAGCGGCACATCACCTACTCACATCACAATTGAACCCCGCAGACTGTTGGTTCCAACCACCCGCTGCTCCAGGGAGGTACTCCAACGGACGTCTATCATCCGCCCACAAACCGTATGCACCACAGACAGAGCGTCCCCCCTAAGAGTGCTGTAGGCACTCCAAACTGCCGGCTCCCGACTGTTTAGCACTTCTTGAGGGTGCTCGCCCGACAGACAGAAAGAAAAAAATCAAGAAAAAAAATTCATACACACATAAGTATGTGTGTGTGGGTGGGGTGGGGGAGAGGGGAGGAAGTGGGGGAGGGGAGGCGAGTGAGCAGGTGAACAACACAAGTCCGTGAGCCAAAACCACACAAGTACAAAAAAACAAAAAAGCGAAAGAAAAAAAAAATGATGATAACAAGATTGTTTCGTCGGAGTTGCACTGACTCATTAGGAGGCCGAACCCTCGACACTCTGAGGAATCGCCATATTTGATGGGTTGGGTCATGAACCCTTTGACCCTTGTTGAAGGCATACTGTCCACAAGCGGAACATAGCAGCGGGCAGCAACCCTGCAGAGCAGCCAGCAGTGCAATAGAGGCAACATGACCGCACATCGCCAAAAATGACGGCAAAGAACGACAAGGCAAGCAGGGAGCAGCAGGGCAACAGCGTGGCGAAGCACAAGGCAACACCAACACAGCAGCCATGCTACACGGCACACAAGCACAGAACACGGAAGGCACGACACATGGATAGGCAAGCGGACGAGCAGCAGGGCAACAGCACGGCGAGGCACAAGGCACTACCAACAAAACAGCCACACTACACGGCACACAAGCAAAGAAAATGGAAGGCACGCCACACAGATGGGCAGCAAGGCAGCAACACATCGGAGCACAGGGCAACACTAACACCACAACCACACCACACAGTGAACATAACAGACTTGCAAAGAACTACATGCAACACAAGCAGGACAGGCAGCAAGGTAGCGGCCGAGCGCAGACAAGGCAATCTACACATCCAACATGGAGCAAATCGGCACATCACCTACTCACATCATGATTGAACCCCGGAGACTGTTGGTTCCCACCACCTGCTGAGCCAGGGAGTCACCTAAACGAACATCCGTCATCACCCACAGGCAACACAGATATCCCAAACCAAGCGGTCCCCTAGGAGTGCTGTAGGCGCTCCAGACAACGGACCACCTACTGTTTTGAGGGTGCTCAGTCCAACAAACAGAGAAAAGCAAGAAAACAGACAGACAGATATACATAAAATTGATTGTGTGTGTGTGTGTGTGTGTGTGGGTGGGTGTGGGTGTGTGTCTGCTTGGGTTTGCAGCAGCTAGTGCAAGTTGGTGGCCGTGCATCACATACTCCGAATTCAAATTTCCGGCTCGTCACTGCTGCGAGGGCATGAGCGAAACCTCATGGGGGACTATGGCGAGCAATGAGGGCATGAGTGAAAGATGCATGCCCCTCACGAGGGAATAGAAGCAGTGAGGGGCACTGAGGGCATGAGTGAAAGACGCATGCCCCTCATGTGAGGAAAATAGCCGAGGCACCGGGCCCAGTAACTTAAAGGGCGTCGTGGGAAGTTTCACCTCTTTCTGAGAGGGGCCTGAAGAAAAGTCAGAGGCCCCAGGGGCACGAGAGGGTAAGGAGTACCTTTGTCGTTTCGGAACGACGGCCGCCGATTAGATTTATCAATGGCAATGGCAGCCGTTGTCGGGCCGCGCATCACATACGCCAAATTCAAATTTCCGGCTTGTCACTGCTGCGAGGGCATGACCGAAAGATGCATGCCCCTCGTGAGGGACTATATGCAAATTTTCCCGAAGGAAACAGGTCGCGGTGGCCCTCGGCAAAGCTGGGGCGCAGTTCTAGTCCGCCTCGGCAAAGAAAAGAAAAAATGGAGCCGCCGTTCGGTATGGGTAGGGTCTTTGGCCATCGCCCCCGGTGTGCCTGTGTGTATGTGTGTGGTGTGCGGGAGAGTGCCGGCTATCGACACTGTTGTTACTCGATGGTGGCGGGGAAGTAGATGGGAGGCACAGCCCCCCCCCCCGCGGCGGCCCCACCCTACTCCCTGACCACCGGCCCGATCAGGGCGGGGGGCAACTTGTGAGAGGTAGCTAGGGTTATAGGAGTGGTGGTAGGTAGGCAGTGAAAGGTGAAAATGAGAGGAGAATATAGCTTAGTGCTTTAGAAAAGACAAAAAAAAAAAACTCCTGTTGGTAATCCCCGGTTTATGCGGAAGTCTTGAGTTGGCTGGGGACTGTCCTGACGTGACAAGTCTGCGAGTATGGAGTTCCCATGCAGCGAATACGAGGAGACAACGCCACGCAGCTATGGCGACTGTGTCTCGCGCGTACTCGGTCGAGCGTCAGAGTTGGTAATAGCGCTGATGGTGACGCTTTTGGTTGTTGCGATTGTGCTCGGTTCTGGCGTAGGTAGGGCTTTCGGGTGGCGCGCTGTGAGCAACTGGCCCGGGGATGACAGCTGTTGGAGTGCTGGCAAGCGGTCGGGGAACAGCATTAGTGCTTTGCATGGGAGTAGTTTCCACTACGCTAATCAGACTGGTTCCGTTTCTCTTGAGCAGATGACGCACAACTCAAGGTCCCTCGAAGTTAGCGATGATGCCATAGTACTGCCAACCATCCTGAATACTGACGTGATAGTGAACAGGAGGAAGGTGCTCACGTCGACACTGAATCCGGTGTTTCCCTCCTCGAACAGGAGTTTATTGCTTAGCTGCATGGACATCCTCTCAAACCTTGTGCTCGCGTCCAATGGCTCTGTCTTGTATCACCTTCTCGACCAGCGGTGCTACTTAAACGGGCCTCAAATACCATCTCATTTGCTGCTCTCCGTACGAACGGCTCAGCGGAAGTCAGGCGGCGCAGGGAGGTGGGAAGGTTTTCAAAACGACTTGCTTGTCAGTTACTGGTGGGTTTCTAACGATACCGATGGGATGAGACCCTCCTCGCCAATCATCTTGAAACAGGACACGCGGATGGAGCCGATGGCGTATATCAACGGCATGGACGTGTCCGATCAAGGGACGACTTCGACTTTGGTACTCAGCATTGAGGAGCTTTCTGGCTCAAACAACACGTTTGCGGACCGTCGATCGCTGGTGACGTTACTCTCCCCAGTGAATGGCAGCAGGCGTTCAATCCTCTTGCCGGGGATTTCACCGTTGGGATGGGGTTCGATCCGACGAAGACGAAGGCCTACGTTGTGGATGTCATCGCGCCACCGCGTCTGATGTCTGAGGAGGTTGCCACTCTGCTGGGGAATGGTGCCAGCAGTGCAGGTGACCAGTTGTTCAAGCGAGAGGCCACCTTCTCTCCCGTAAGGGGGTTGAACCTCTCCAGATTGCTCGTACGCCCGCAAGGGCTTACCGCGGATTGCAGCTGCCTGTACATAGTAGATCAGAGGGAGAGCAATCTCTGGACCTTCGATCTGCCTATGAGGAACATATCTCTGGCTGCTGACAGGAAAAGACTCGGTTTTGCGGAGGAGGAGAAGGAAAATTTGAAAGAGATTGCTGTTACCCAGGATGGGTGCAATGCTTTCGTTAGTGACGGTGGCGGCTACTTGCGATGGATTCGATTCAAAGCACAGTGCGGCGAAGCGCAAACGGTGGATGCCGTGGCGAGATATAGCGCAGGCGGGTTCTGGGGGTTGGCGGCGATCCATGAGGATGACAATCGGCTCAGCCTGCTCGTTGGAACGAATGACGGACACGTGTTCGAGCTGGAGATCAACAGGTCCGCCCTGCATACATGCCCCCCCCCCCCCCCCCCGACCACCTCCACTTCCTCCCACATCTTCTTATCCTCCTCCTCCGGCCATCTCATCGTCCTTACCCCCGCTCTTTGATGAACCCCCGGGAGCCACTCAGCATTCCAAGAGACGTCGAAACTTGACTGTAGCTGTCTATCTGCCCGTGGCCGTTGTGGCGGTGTCGGCCATCTTCGCGGGCCTCATGGTGGCTCTCTTCTACTACGGGAGGCGCGGAAGTCGAGAGCAGGGGGGAAGTCAGAAGCGGCGGGAAAGCGCGCTTCGACGACGGTGCCAACCTGCTCCTCCCTGTTCGTCCTTGCCCTCCCTCGACGGCAGTGCGCTGCCCGAGGGAGCATCAACCGGCCATGACCGCGTCCAGGAGGTTCAGCCGTTTAATGCGACGGTGTTCTCGCTGCAAACCTTGGCGTACGTCACTAGCAATTTCAGCGCCGATTATCGGATGGGAGACAAGGGTGCTTTTGGCAATGTCTACTGGGGTGCTATTGGGGACAGGGAGGTGGCTATCAAGGTGATGAGGGGGGACGTGACACCGGAGAAGCGAAAGCAATTCGTCGTCGAAGTGAGCACGTTGAGCAGGCTCCATCACTCCAATCTAATCGACCTGGTAGGTTACTGTGAGGAAGGGAATACGTGCATCCTTGTATACCCCTACTTCCCGGGCGGCAGTCTCTCCGGTCGCTTGCACAACAGAGATGCCACTCCTCGGAGAGCGGCTGGTACTCCTGCTCCTCCTCTTACGCTAGTGGAGCGCATGTGTGTAGCCTTTCAGATCACCAGGGGTCTCCGCTATCTTCACACGGCTGCGGATCCCCGATCATTCACAGGGATATCAAGAGCAGCAACGTCCTTCTAGAAGATGGATAGGGGACGAATCTGCGCGCCGTCGTCGCCGATTTCGGACTGGCGAAGATCTGTGAGAGGGTCTTCGACACACAAATCGAGGCTATTGTGCGGACGAGCCACGTGGCAGGCACCCAGGGCTACATGGCACCGGAGTACCTGATGAGAGGCAAGCTGACGGTCAAGAATGACGTGTATTCTTTTGGCGTTCTTCTGCTGGAGTTGCTGACGAGGAGGAAGGTGGTCACGCCGGCGCCGCCTCCAGGGCAAGGATGGCAGACACTCGTAGACTGGGTGAGACCGTCGCTAAGAGGAGGTCATCTGCATGTTGACAGCATACCGATCCAGATTCTCGACACGTGTCTAAGGGAGCAGGTGAGGAGCGATGCTGCAATGAGAAGAATGGTGGCCGGTGCACTCTTGCTGGCGCGGGACTGCGTCGAAGAGTCGGATAGCTCCAGGCCAACGATGAGCGCCGCCGCAGAGAGGCTGGGTGCTTTCCTGTCGGACGCGAACGTGAGGCGCAGGGCGTATAGTTAAGGATACTGGCCGCGGGAAGAGACCAATTGCCGCAAGGCGATGGAATCCTTTTGCTGCATCCTCGCCTTGTTGAGACGGGTTCAACCAAGGGCAGGCTATTCCCAGTGATCCCCTTTCACGACGAGCTTGAGTGTGCGCAGCGATGGAGTTCTTCACTATGAGCATCTTCAACGGCGTTGAATAAGTCGTGTCCGTCTCGTTGTGGACTTCTACAACGTCTCATTTATTTGACATATTGATTGTACAAATGAGCAGTTCATACGGTGACTCAAACGGGCAAGTACGGTGGGAAAGCCCAGGGGATCGGAAGTGACGGCGAGTCCCCAGGAGGATCAGCTTGTCTCCTGCCTTCTCTGCGCTCGCCAATGGGCAGTGGCAGTGGAAGAGTTGTCGGGACACTGCAGTGTCTTCCACCTATTGTCTTCCCTCGAACACAACGCACCCTCATTTTGGCTGTATCTGGCCGGAAATATAGCTTGTGTATACATTCATTTTTAGGGTGCGTTATGTTCGGGGGAAGACGGTAGTGACGCAACGCACCCTAACCATGAAACTAATTAAGCTGTGTGGGGTCTCTGTCTGATGCATTCGTGATGAAGGTAAGGGGGAACACGATGCGTAGGATCTCGTGACTGCAGTTGTATGTATTTGGGTCTCGCCGCAGGGCACACGAAACGAAAACGAAACGAGTGCATCTGCCTACGAAAGGTGGCTAAATACACTCCTTACTATTTATAGCAAACCGATGAACCTGGCCATTCTCTGCAGGAAGATGCAGTCGTTTCGTTTTCGTTTCATGTGCCGTGCGGCGAGACCCTTTATCAAATGTGCTTGCAAGTGCGGAAAGGGCGCTCTTTTTCTTGTAGAAAAAAGTCGCGTATAAATTAGGGGTAACGTCAGTAGAGTCACAAAAAGGAGTGATAATTGGAGTATGGGGCAAGGCAAGATACAGTATGCAATTGCACTTCGGGCACCCTACCTGGCCAGAAAGCTGGGTTGTATACATGGCCCAAACTGCAATTCGAAACTGAATCTTGGCCCATAGAGCAACATAGTAACTCATTTTCGCGACTCCCACATAGTTTCCGCTTAAATGGGGTAACTTTAGTAGAGTCACAAAAAGGAGTAATATAGGGCTTTTTGCCTTTCGATTTGGTTAATGTGGGGTTTATGTCCTCGAGAACAGTTGTTCGCGCACGCCTTCAGGTGGATGGATTCCAAGCGGATTATCGCCGAAGACATCGGCGCGGAGAGGGAGTCTACAATCTGTCGATGGTTTGGGCGGGCCAAGGCGTTTGTCCTCGAGAGTCGGGCCTACAAGTCGGAAACTGGCCCCATCTATCCCGACCCTTGTGTCCCGACGTTGCTCGCCTTTTTGACGGCCGGTCTAAAAGTAGACAAGGGAAGGAGGGATTGGACAAAGGGACAAAGGAAGGCGGCAGGCCGTTTCGTCACAGGGTTACTCAAGCTTATGTATCTATGAGTAAATTTGCAGATTATCTATGTGCATGCATGCGATCGCGTCCGATAGTATCTACGAGTGAATTTGCATATTATCTATGTGCGTG